TAATGTGAGGGGGCGATCAAAGGGTTAACTGTGTGCCGGGGGGAGTGTTTTACTAGGGGGCGGGGGGGTCTGTGTTTTTCACTGTAATCACACTGCTCTGGATGGCTGTGCTGTGCGCCCGAGTAAACAAAACAGTCTTCCTCCCCCGCCGGTGATTGTTGGTAATCACCAGGCGCCGGTGGGTAATCACCGATCGGGACCCGGTGATTGACACCCGCGTCTGGGAATGATGGTGCAGTTAGGGCGCACGTGCGTCCCCCTACCCGGAAATGCGCAATCACATACATATACGTGATTTGCGCACCCGTGCCGCCGTGTAGCAGTATATATGGTATACGGCGCCAGGGAAGCGGTTAACCACCTGAGCTTTCATGAGCAGCCATATTTTGCTATTTGGCACTGCGCTACTCTAACTGGTAATTGCGCGGTCACGCAACGCTGCACCCAAACACAAATTTTGTATAGTTTTTTTTTTTCCCCCACACAAATAAAGCCTTCTTTTGGTGGTATTTTAATCACCACTGTTTTTTTTTTTTTTTTTCTATTATTATATAAATGAAAAAAGATTTAAAATTTTTGGGGAAAAAAATTATATTTTTTTTAATACTTTCTGCTATAAAACAAACCCATTAAAAAAAATAATATTCATACATTTTGGACAAAATGTATTCTGACGCATGTTTTTGGTAAAAAAAAAAAAAAATCCCAATAAGTGTATATTGATTGGTTTGTGTGAAAATTATAGCGGGATATACGTGGGATTTTTTTTTTTTTCAATACATGTGATCAGCGATTTATAGTGGGACTGTGATAGTGCGGCGGGCAATCTCACACCAACTGACACATCTCCAGTGACACTAATACAGTGATCAGTGATAATACTATACAATGACACCGGCTGGGAAGGGAGAAGAGACAAAGAGATCGTTCCCTCTCTACCAGGGGCGGACTGACAACTCATGGGGCCCCCGGGCAATAGGGGATCATGGGGCCCGTGTCCTTGCCCAAACTCAAAAAAGCCTATGAAAAAGGTACCAGGGGCATCTCATGGGGCCCCCTACTGACCCCCACGAGGCTCTCGGGCAGTGCCCGAGTTGCCAAATTAAAAGGAGGCCCATGCGACATGGTGACAACATTCAGTGGGGAAACCCTGCAGATTTTGTTGGTTTGCCCCCTTACAGAGAAATGGAGGGTCTATCATTTTTTATCATAGGTGTATCTTCAATGATAGAGACAGAATAACAACCAAAATTCCAGAAAATAACCACGATACAAATGTTATAAATGGAGTTGCAGTTCAGTGAGTAAAATAAATATTTGATCCCCAAGCAAAACATGACTTAGTACTTGGTGGAGGAACCCTTGCTGGCGAGCACAGAGGTGAGACGTTCCTTGTAGTTGGTTCTCTGGTTTGCAGACATCTCAGGAGGCATTTTGGTCCACTCTTCTTTACAGATCTTCTCTAAATCCTTGAGGTTTCCTGGCTGTCGCTTGGCAACTCGAAATTTTCTATCGGATTCAGGTCTGGAGACTGGCTAGGCCACTCCCTGACCCTAATGTGCTTCTTTTTGAGCCGCTCCTTTGTTGCCTTGGTGGTATGTTTTGGGTCATTGTCATGCTGGAACACCCATCTGTGACCCATCGGTCATTGTCATGCTGGAAGACCCATCCACTGGAACACCCATCTAAGACCCATCGGTCATTGTCATGCTGGAAGACCCATCCACTGGAAACACCCATCCATGACCCATCGGTCATTGTCATGCTGGAACACCCATCTATGACCCATCGGTCATTGTCATGCTGGAAGACCCATCCACGACCCATCGGTCATTGTCATGCTGGAAGACCCATCTACGACCCCTCGGTCATCGTCATGCTGGAACACCCATCTACGACCCATGGGTCATTGTCATGCTGGAACACCCATCTGTGACCCATCGGTCATTGTCATGCTGGAACACCGATCCACGACCCATCGGTCATCGTCATGCTGGAACACCCATCTACGACCCATCTGTCATCGTCATGCTGGAACACCCATCTACGACCCATCTGTCATCGTCATGCTGGAACACCCATCTGTGACCCATCGTCATGCTGGAACACCCATCTATGACCCATCGGTCATTGTCATGCTGGAACACCCATCCATGACCCATCGGTCATTGTCATGCTGGAACACCCATCTATGACCCATCGGTAATCGTCATGCTGGAACACCCATCCACGACCCATCGGTCATTGTCATGCTGGAACACCTATCTACGACCCATCGGTCATCGTCATGCTGGAACACCTATCCACGACCCATCTTCAGTGTTCTGGCTGAGGGAAGAAAGTTTCTCATCCAAGATCTTACAGTACATGGCCCCATCCGTTGGCCCCTCAATGCGGCAAAGTCGGCCTGTACCTTTGGCAGAGAAACAGCCCCAAAGCATAATGTTTCCACCTCCGTGCTTGACTGTAGGGATGATGTTCTTGGGGTCATAGTCAGCATGTTTCTTCCTCCAAACACTATGAGTCGAGTTAAGGCCAAAAAGCTCCATTTTGGTCTCATGTGACCACGCCACTTTCTCCAAATCCTTCTCTGAATCATTTAGATGTTCATTGGCAAACTTCAGATGGGTGTGTAGATGTGCCTTCTTGAGGAGGGGGACCTTAATAAGATAAGTGTTCAGTATTCAGTCAGAGACAGATGTTCACCAATTAGCATCTGAAAGGACAGAGCAGCTTCTAGGCTGGAGGTGACACCTGGATGCCAATAAAACGTTGTCACCTATGTAGCCAGAGTTTGCCACCTTCTTGAAATCTAAAGGAAGAGCCCTAGCCAATTCGGCTTCGGGAAGCAGCAGGAGACCAGGAGTGGCTCCGATCTGTCTGCCAGCTATAATTTATACCGGCAGATCAGAGGAATCTATTTAATCTCTCATAAAAGCTAAAATATTAGTTCCAGAGAGATGAAAATACTTCCTTCTGATTGGACACAATGTGGGCTACATCTGCATGTAAAACTGTATTTGTAGCCCCTGTGGAATCCCAGAGAAACGCAGAAAACAGTTATATGGCGCCTGATTGCGACAGCTGAACAGTGATTGGTACTGTCGCGATCGGACTGATGCGCTGGTGTCAGAAATTCTACCCCTGACTTGGTGATTCAAACCGTTCCTGGTCCAATCGACTTTGGGCACTTCAGTACCCGGAACGTCCTGTGGGCTGGTACAGGAACACCCGCCAGGGTTGATTGGCCAAGAGATTCTGTGGACAGGTGTCTTGTCGGTAGGAGCACCTTCTTCCATTGGCAGGACTGATCTGTGTACCACATGAGCCCATAGCCGGTCTGCGGGAGCCAGAATCATTGCCTGCTGGTGGGGGATCAAATACTTATTTTTTACTCACTCAACTGCAACTCCATTTATAACATTTGTTCGTGTTTTTTCTGGATTTTTGGTCGATATTCTGTCTCTGTCATTTACAATACACCTAGGATAACAATTATAGACCCTCCATTCCTTTGTAAGTGGGCAAATGTACAAAATCTGCGGGGGAGCAAATCATTATTTTCCACCCCGTAGAGTACAGGGGCCCTTGTGGGGCCTCCTCAGGGGGGTCTGTATTTGTACAGGGGACCCTGTCAGAGGTTGGGGAATGGTCTGTATTTGTACAGGGGCTCCTCCCAGAGGCTGGGGGAGGGGTCAGTATTTGTACAGGGGCTCCTCCCAGAGGCTGGGGGTCAGTATTTGCACAGGGGCTTCTCCCAGAGGCTCGGGGAGGGGTCTGTATTTGTACAGGGGACCCTCTCAGAGGTTGGGGGTCTGTATTTGTACAGGGGCCCCTCTCAGAGTTTGGGGGAGGGGTCTGTATTTGTACAGGGGCCCCTCTCAGAGGTTGGGGGAGGGGGTCTGTATTTGTACAGGGGCTCCTCCCAGAGGCGGGGGGAGGGGTCAGTATTTGTACAGGGGCTCCTCCCAGAGGCTGGGGGAGGGGGTCAGTATTTGTACAGGGGCTCCTCCCAGAGGTTGGGGGTCAGTATTTACACAGGGGCTTCTCCCAGAGGCTCGGGGAGGGGTCTGTATTTGTACAGGGGACCCTCTCAGAGGTTGGGGGTCTGTATTTGTACAGGGGCCCCTCTCAGAGGTTGGGGGTCTGTATTTGAACAGAGGGCCCTCTCAGAGGTTGGGGGAGGGGGGCAGTATTTGTACAGGGGCTTCTCCCAGAGGCTGGGGGAGGGGTATGTATTTGTACAGGTGCCCCTCTCAGAGGTTGGGGGTCTGTATTTGTACAGGGGCCCCTCTCAGAGCTTGGGGGTCTGTATTTGTACAGGGGCCCCTCTCAGAGGTTGGGGGTCTGTATTTGAACAGAGGGCCCTCTCAGAGGTTGGGGGTCTGTATTTGAACAGAGGGCCCTCTCAGAGGTTGGGGGAGGAGTCTGTATTTGTACAGGGGCTCCTCCCAGAAGCTGGGGGAGGGGGTCAGTGTTTGTACAGGGGGCCCTCTTAGAGGTTGGGGGAGGGGCCTGTATTTGTATAGGGGCCCTTCTTAGAGGTTGGGGGAGGGGACTGTATTTATACTGGGGCCCTTCTTAGAGGTAGGGGAATGTATTTGTAAAGGGGCCCCTCTCCTGGTTGGGGGGAGGGGTATGTATTTGTACAGGGGCCCCTCTCCTGGTTGGGGGAGAGGTCAGTATTTGTACAGGGGCCCCTGTGACCTCATAGGCTGGGGGGAGGGGTCTGTATTTGTACATGGGCCCCTGTGGTCCCTCCCAGAGAACGGGGGAGGGGTCTGTATGTGTACTGTGGCCCCTGTGTAGGGCCCCAGTGATATCACCAGGTATCTCAGGCCCTCTGTCTACGCGGTGGGCGGAGTTTCCTTGGCTGTGTAGATTTGTGAATTGTCAATAAAGCTGTGCGGGGCGGAGGGACGTTCGGAAGCTGCGGCGGCCGGAAGTGGGGCGTGCCCTGTGTGTGTTGCCGGAAGTGGCGGAGAAAGAGAGAAGCGGGGATGCCGAAGGTGGTTTCCCGGTCGGTGGTGTGCTCGGACACCCGGGACAGGGAGGAGTACGATGATGGGGAGAAACCCCTCCATGTCTACTACTGTCTGTGCGGGCAGATGGTGCTGGTCCTGGGTGAGTGGGTCACAGGAATAGAGGGGGTCACCGGAATAGAGGGGGTCACACAGGAGGGGGGAGGGGATATCTCCTATAAACCATCATTATGTGTAAGATTACATTTCAGATTTTTATTTCTGCCTGTGTCACCCATTGGGGAGATTCTCCCTCACTTCCTGTCCCTGTGACACCCTTATAGGTAAGCGGCATGGTTGTCACCGGCACAGGAAGCCACAGGCAAAGGTGACAACATTGCCAGAATTTCCGTCCTTTCCCCTTATAATGATAAAAAAAAAGTTTTGTATGGTGGCTCCATTGTAGAGATTTACAGTCACTTCCTGCCCTGGTGACTCTTTTAACAGAAATGGGTTGTCACCGGGACAGGAAGTCACAGACAGCAGTGATAAGATTGCCAGAATTTCTGTCCTTTCTGCCGCTATGCTAACAAAAAAAAATTATTACATTTTTTCTCTGCTGGAGAGATTGACCTTCACTTCCTGTCCAGGTGACAACCTTATACAAAATGGGAAGTGTGGTGGTCACCGGGAGATTGACCCTCACTTCCTGTCCAGGTGACAACCTGCTACAGAATGGGAAGTGTGGTTGTCACCGGGAGATTGACCCTCACTTCCTGTCCAGGTGACAACCTTATACAAAATGGGAAGTGTGGTTGTCACCGGGAGATTGACCCTCACTTCCTGTCCAGGTGACAACCTTCTACAGAATGGGAAGTGTGGTCACCGGGAGACTGGCCCTCACTTCCTGTCCAGGTGACAACCTTATACAAAAATGGGAAGTGTGGTGGTCACCGGGAGATTGACCCTCGCTTCCTGTCCAGGTGACAACTTATACAGAATGGGAAGTATGGTGGTGGTCACCGGGAGATTGACCCTCACTTCCTGTCCAGGTGACAACCTTCTACAGAATGGGAAGTATGGTGGTCACCGGGAGATTGACCCTCACTTCCTGTCCAGGTGACAACCTTCTACAGAATGGGAAGTATGGTGGTCACTGGGAGATTGAGCCTCGCTTCCTGTCCAGGTGACAACCGAATACAAAATGGGAAGAGTGGTGGTCACCAGGACAGGAAGTCACAGGCAGGATTTTTTTGATATGGCTCCATTGGAGAGGGAGATTTACAATCGCTTCCTGTCCCTGTGACACTCCTGTACAAAATGGGAAGTAAGGTTGTCACCGGGACAGGAAGTGAGGAGGATTCACAGCTGGCAAACTTGACAAATGTTCCAAGGCTTCCTCACTCTGTCCAAATACAGTTTTGTCTGGTGAAGGAAAGCTGGACATCGGTCTGTTCCTGCAAAGTAACAATGTCTCTAAGGGGTGTGTCTATAGAAGGGGTTTGTAGGAGGTTGGGGTGTCGGGGGTCTGTAGGAGGTTGGGGTGTCGGGGGTCTGTAGGAGGTTGGGGTGTCGGGGGTCTGTAGGTGGTTGGGGTGTCGGGGGGTCTGTAGGAGGTTGGGGTGTCGGGGGGTCTGTAGGAGGTTGGGGTGTCGGGGGGGGGGGGTCTGTAGGAGGTTGGGGTGTCGGGGGTCTGTAGGAGGTTGGGGTGTCGGGGGTCTGTAGGAGGTTGAGGTTGGGGTGTCGGTTCCTGTAGGAGGTGTCGGGTCTGTAGGAGGTTGGGGTGTCGGGGGTCTGTAGGAGGTTGGGGTGTCGGGGGTCTGTAGGTGGTTGGGGTGTCGGGGGTCTGTAGGAGGTGTCGGGGGTCTGTAGGAGGTGTCGGGGGTCTGTAGGAGGTTGGGGTGTCGGGGGTCTGTAGGTGGTTGGGGTGTCGGGGGTCTGTAGGAGGTGTCGGGGGTCTGTAGGAGGTGTCGGGGGTCTGTAGGAGGTTGGGGTGTCTGTGTAGGCGGTGTCTGTAGGAGGTTGGGGTGTCGGGGGTCTGTAGGAGGTTGGGGTGTCGGGGGTCTGTAGGAGGTTGGGGTGTCGGGGGGTCTGTAGGAGGTTGAGGTGTCTGTAGAAGGTGTCGGGGTCTGTAGAAGGTTGAGGTGTCGGGGTCTGTAGGAGGTTGAGGTGTCTGTAGGAGGTTGAGGTGTCTGTAGGAGGTTGAGGTGTCTGTAGAAGGTGTCGGTGTCTGTAGAAGGTTGAGGTTTCGGGGTCTGTAGGAGGTTGAGGTGTCTGTAGAAGGTGTCAGTGTCTGTAGAAGGTTGAGGTTTCGAGGTCTGTAGGAGGTTTCGGGGTCTGTAGGAGGTTGAGGTGTCTGTAGAAGGTGTCGGTGTCTGTAGAAGGTTGAGGTTTCGGGGTCTTTAGGAGGTTGAGGTGTCTGTAGAAGGTTGAGGTTTCGGGGTCTGTAGGAGGTTGAGGTGTCTGTAGAAGGTTGTCGGTGTCTGTAGAAGGTTGAGGTTTCGGGGTCTTTAGGAGGTTGAGGTGTCTGTAGAAGGTTGAGGTTTCGGGGTCTGTAGAAGGTTGAGGTTTCGGGGTCTGTAGGAGGTTGAGGTGTCTGTAGAAGGTGTCGGTGTCTGTAGAAGGTTGAGGTTTCGAGGTCTGTAGGAGGTTGAGGTTGAGGGGTCTGTAGGAGGTTGAGGGGTCTGTAGGAGGTTGAGGGGTCTGTAGAAGGTGTCGGTGTCAGTAGGAGGTTGAGGTGTCTGTAGGAGGTTTCGGGGTCTGTAGGAGGTTTCGGGGTCTGTAGGAGGTTGAGGTGTCTGTAGAAGGTGTCGGTGTCTGTAGGAGGTTGAGGTGTCTGTAGGAGGTTTCGGGGTCTGTAGGAGGTTTCGGGGTCTGTAGGAGGTTTCGGGGTCTGTAGGAGGTTGAGGTGTCTGTAGAAGGTGTCGGTGTCGGGGTCTGTAGGAGGTTTCGGGGTCTGTAGAAGGTTGAGGTTTCGGGGTCTGTAGGAGGTTTCGGGGTCTGTAGGAGGTTTCGGGGTCTGTAGGAGGTTTCGGGGTCTGTAGGAGGTTTCGGGGTCTGTAGGAGGTTTCGGGGTCTGTAGAAGGTGTCTGTAGAAGGTTGAGGTTTCGGGGTCTGTAGGAGGTTTCGGGGTCTGTAGGAGGTTTCGGGGTCTGTAGGAGGTTTCGGGGTCTGTAGGAGGTTGAGGCGTCTGTAGGAGGCGTCTGTATAAGGTTTGAGTGTTGATGTCTGTAGAAAGTTGTCCATGTCTGTAGGGGGGGAGGGGTTCTGTAGGGGGGGGGAGGGGTTCTGTAGGGGGAGGGGTTCTGTAGGGGGGGAGGGGTTCTGTAGGGGGGTCTGTAGGAGGTATATAGGTGTGATGGTCAGGCGTCCTCCATCTACATTGTGGGTTATATTTGGACACCTCAGCGGTTTTGTCAGCAGAATCCACAGACCAGTTCTGATTGGACGTCTGCTTTACATTCATTAGTTGGGGGGAATATTTTGTATCTTCTCGGCGGAGATATTTTCTCTCCTCCTCAGACAACAATGGTAGAAAGTTTCCTTTTTTCCCCCCTCCCCCCCCCCCCCCCCCCTGGGGTTGCGGTGCCGCACATGTGGGACTCGGTTTGCTCTGAATCAGCGTCATGAGCTCTTATTATGCAAACAGAATAAGAGCTCCTCCGAGGTGGCCCCTTCCTCCGAGGTGGCCCCTTCCTCAGACGTGGCCCCTTCCTCAGACGTGGCCCCTTCCTCAGACGTGGCCCCTTCCTCAGACATGGCCCCTTTGTTAGGGGCCCTCTTGGTCTGATAGGGGGACACTCTATGGCAGCCTTTCTCAACATTTTCAACAATGGAACCCCTGCAACAAATGACTGTCATGATACAATAGTGTGATGGTCGGGGGAGGAACGCTCCTCACACTTGTGTCATCGGGAAGAATTACCCCGTACAGGTGGCTACAACCATCCATGGTGTCAGTAGAAATGTGTCTGAGAGTCAGAAATTACTCATTGCTCGAGGAACCTCCTAGCAACCTCTGGAGGAACCCTGGTTGAGAAACCCTACTCTATGGTGATGGAGAACTCATAGGGGGAACCCTCCTGGTGTGATAGGGGAGCACTCTAAGGTGATGGGGAACTCCTAGGGGCACCTACCTGGTGTGATGGTGGGGGACCCTCCTGGCGCGATAGATGGTACACTCTAAAGTGATGAGGAACTCCTAGGGGGAACCCTCCTGGTGTGATCGGGGAGCACTCTAAGGTGATGGGGAACTCCTAGGGGTACCCTCCTGGTGCGATGGTGGGGGACCCTCCTGGTGCGATAGGTGGGACATTCTAAGGTGATGGGGAACTCCTAGTTGGACCCTCCTGGTGCGATAGATGGGACATTCTAAGGTGATGGGGAACTCCTAGGGGGACCCTTCTGGTGCGATAGGTGGGACATTCTAAGGTGATGGGGAGCTCCTAGGGGTACCCTCGGGGTGCGATGGTGGGAACCCTCCTGGTGCGATGGTGGGACACTAAGGTGATGAAGAAACCCTAATGGGACCCTCCTGGTGCGATGGTGGGGGGTCCCTCCTGGTGTGATAGGTGGGACATTCTAAGGTGATGGGGAACTCCTAGGAGGACCCTCCTGGTGCGATGGTGGATGGTGGGGGGTCCTTCCTGGTGTGATGGTGGGGGACCCTCCTGGTGTGATGGTGGATGGTGGGGGTTCCTCCTGGTGTGATAGATGGGACACTCTCTAAGGTGATGGGTGGGGGACCCTCCTGGTGCGATGGGTGGGACACTCTAAGGTGATGGGGAACTCCTATGGACGACCTCCTGATGAGATGGAGCAATCTCTGGTGTCAAGGGCGGGGTTCTAATTAGAGATGAGCGAATCGAAGTATCCGAAGTGGAATTCGAGTCGAATATCGGAAAAATTTCGATTCGTGCCGAATCCGAAAAATAGCCTAATTCGGACGCGCGAATCGAAATTTTTCAGAAAATGGCGGCTGACATGTGCGGCGACGGAGCGGGGATGTCTGGGAAGGCGCGCAGACAAGGCGCGCTGACCCATAATGCATTCCTCAACTACATGTGATCGCATCAGCCTATCAGCAGCCAGCCAGCCAGCACTGTGTAATGGTCGAGCTATAAATAGCGGCCATTTTGGAATTCTTCATTTGCCTGCAGTCAT